TAATTACCATTCCCAGTAAAACATTTTCTAGGAAAATCAATTCCCTGTAAAACATTTTCTTTCCACCCATTTTCCAACTTTGCAATCAAACGGACCCTAAGTTCTACCATTTGAACCTTGTAGCTTTGTTATTAGGAACTCAGTTCCATGCACTGCATGTTAAGATGTTATACTTCGGCGTGATCATTATACTTTTTATCAGTCATTAAAATTTTAATAAAAGTTGATAAAATTTGTTATTGAAAAGTTCTGAATTCCATAAAATATATGATCAAAATTAATTATTGACTTTGACTTGATAATTTAATTAAATTTTAATACAAACCAAATACGGGCTTTATTTCATTAGCTACTTCATTCTTTCAAACAATTCCCATTTTCTTTCTTTCATTTTCACAAACCCTATTAATTTTGACTTTATTTTTCTGAAAAAGATTAACCATTTTAATTGAAAATTCGAATAATTTGTTAAAAATAAAATTTAGACAGTGTTTTCACAAATCAACATGTTTGATGGTGCTTGGTCATCAAAGTCAGTCTTCACTCTAATTTCGAACTGCCGAGTGTTAGACTTCCACGTCAGATCTCATTCCTGTCCATTTGCCACGTCATTAATTTCAAAGCATGCACCAAAAAAAAAAAAAAGAGAGAGAATTAGAGTAAAACGTATGCCTCCGTTTAGAAATAGTGTTTTTTGAAAAACATGTTATTAAAAAGAAAGAAAAAATTCTAAGCTTACGTGTAATATTATTTTATTGAATAACGCAAAATTCATATAAAAAAGGAAAAAAATGAATTATAATTTTAATGACGATATATTTGTCTATCACTCTTTCTGCTCTTTCTCTCTCAAAATCAAAATTAATCCGCGAATCTGAAAATTAAAGAAATTGGGCAGAATTTAGTGATAAGAAAGAAAAAAGAATTGAGGTTTTGAGTAATATCAATGGCGTCAAAAAAAGACAACAATTTCAAGAATAGACTTGAAAGTAACACCAGGGTTGGCGGATTGTCCAAGGGTCAAGTGTCACTTCACCGGATTCTTCACACTCTCTCCACCGTTCCTCCACCACCGCCTCCCCAGCCTTCCCACAACTACCTAGAAGAAGTAGAGACACCCGTCCTTAATGATGAGCAGACGGAGAATAAAGTATTATTAGGTATTGGCTTGATCAAAAATTTGGCTCAAGATAATGATTGTGACTCTCCGCCGGCCAAGATCAGTGGCGGCACAGCCGTTTCTACTGTAGTTGAGTCAAAGAAAGTGAGTTTTTTTACTGTATGTGATCTGAATTTAAACGAGAATCAAGAAGTTTCATTGGCAAAGAATGAGATTCAAATACAACATTGCTCGGAAGTAGAAACCAGTGGAATCGACGAAAAGGATCGGAAAAAGAAGAATGCCAGATGGGAAGCGCTTCTTAAAGTGGCGGAGATTTATTCAAGAAAGTTAGAAGAAGAACGTGCAAAAGATGGTCGGCAGACTCAGAGACGGAGAACGAGTGGGAAAGTGGAATTACAGATTGAGTCGAGACAACACAGGACAAAGAACCAAAGTGAAAATGTGGAGGTGGTATAGGCGGAGTTGTTGGCTCCGCCAGTGGTGCGGTCGAATTGGGGGAGCACTCAGGCGCTGCCATACAAGTTTAGGGACTCGATTGTCGATTCATGGACTGAATTCTCCCAACAAAACAAAAGCAGCAAATCAAGCCCCATGGCAAAGACACGGGCCACACACAGTACTGTTCCTTACTAAACATGCATGCATGATGTAATTTTACCTTTTAACATTTTGCATTTTGAGGTAATACGAGAGTCATAATCTATGCAAAGAGTTGGATTCTTTAGCTTCAAGAAAAACATTCTACAATGACATTTTATTTCGCCTATTTGGTAGGCCCTTTTTTTCCATGGAAAATGGAATTGAAATTCAATTTCTCACTTTTGTCGTGTTTGATGACACTTTTTTTCCAATTGTAAGAAATTATATCCTTTTAATTTTAATTGACAATTTTTATGAAAAATAATGTCAAACGAACACCAAAAGATAGAAAATTTCAACATTTTCTAGGTGAAAAATTATACTAATCAAACATAATTAATTGACAATTCTCAGTAAAACAAGTTCTAAGCAATTCAATTCCCCACAATTCACTTTCTTTACACCCAAATTCCATCTTTGAATCAAACGGACCCTTAATGTAAATATCGCCTTTTTCGTGCTCTTATGTATGATTTCACCTGAGTAGCTTGTTAGATCTTTCAAGCTGTGAACCTCCCAAGAAATGACGTGGCACAATTTTTACCACAAAAGGAGACTTAGCCCCGTTTGATTTTGCTAAAATGTGAATTAAAATTTAAATCAAAATTAATAGTTTAATTTTAACCACATATATGTATGGAATCCACAACTTTCAACCGTACATGATTCAATCAACTTTATCAAAATCTATTAAAAATCTGAATTTTATCTAAATCAAAGAGGCTTACTCTTAATCTATAAGCTCATCCAAACATGCTCCTTATCTTGTTTAGACAATTTCAACAATCTTGATAACAAAGATCTCACTATCTAACTGATAATAAGGAGTGAGGAAGGACAATTAATCAATTGAGATAATTCAATCGAGCGAATTTGAATTTTGAAACAGCTCTAGTTTGAGACACTTCAAGACAAGTACCATCTAGGTAAACAAATAGGGCATATTCTAATTATAGTCGTACAAAACATTGCCAATTTGCACGAATATATTCCCAAATCAATTAGCAAAAATAACCTGAAAGAAGTGATAGATATTTTAGTAGCATCTACTGGTCTGTTCGAGTAGCTCAGTTCTCAGGGATCGGCACAACTCTACTAAACGATTATCCGTTGCTAATGTTGAAGATGGTTGCTCCGCTGTGTGCTGCAGCTGTTGGTTGAAGAAGGTGGCTGCTTTCTAATTTATTAACTAGTGTGTTTATGGATTGGAGGGGGGCAGGTGAAGTAGCTATTGAACAAAATCTCATATATAATATTTGGGTTGGGGTTGTCAATTTTTGGACAATGGATCATCAATTGAGGTATTGTACATCCCAAGTGGTGCTTCAATTCCTAAACATTATATTAAAATTTGTGGCAATTGGTATTAAAGTAAACTAGAATGACAATTTGGGTCCACCTTAGTGGTCTGAATCTTGAATTTCTGAAATTTCACCCTACGTTTTGTTGGGACAACTGATGACCGGTGTCTGGACAAGCGAGTCAATGGTTCGAGCACCGAGTCTCTGTACCGATTTGGCAGAACATAATTTCTCCCTCGCTTCGAGCGCCGCAACATTGGTGATCCCTTGTCCTCAACATATCCGTCTATTTCCGCCGCCATCAACGGCTGGCTTCGCCGCCTCAACGTCTTTTCATTCAACTCATTCTTGCCCGTCTTATTATTCTTTAATTCAAAGCTTTGTCTTTCGGACTCGTATGCAGACTCGAATTTATTGTAGTCTTTGAACTCGCCCAATATCAATTTCGCAGCTTCAATGAGTAGATCAATTTTTTTCTCGGCTTCATCAAAGTCATTTTCATATGTCTTTTCACCTTGTTGATCGCATTGATCACCACCTCCGTCACCGTTCAGGGGCGGCAGACCACCGAATCCTACGGTTGTGCTACTTGGGCTCAGCCGTGCGCCGCTGGCTAAAGACTCGGAAGGTTCATCCATCTCTGGCAAAATGCAAACGTCGCCGTTCAAGTCAAATTCGGAACCATTATCTTCTTTTCTCATATTGCTCTCTACAGATAATTCTTTGGTTTCTGAACTGATAAGTGGTGGCTCCGTCAGGGTGATTTGAGGTGGCCGCACAGTGGAAATTATGTGCATAATCCTGAGCAAGCACAATTGGGCTTTGGAACCTTTACTGGTTGCACAATACATGGAATTGAAGCTGACCTGATTTGGGTTCTCCAGTGATCTACATGGAGGAGAAGAACCAGCCATAGACTTTGATCGAAGCACAATAGACTACTGGGAAAGGGCCAAGAAAGACTAGTACGAGGCGAATTTAAGGCTGTTTCACGGCCAAATATTAAAATAATGTTATACATAATTAACAATTAAGCTAGTCATCCAATGTAAAACTTATTTATTTTAGACTTTAATTTATTATTTGAGTTAGCGGAATTACAAAAAGGGTAATACTAATCATAGTCAGCGACTACAGTTGTGATCTTACATGACATAATTTTAACAATTACAAAATTTGAGTATTTCTAATTATCCTTGTTCTTAATTATTTTTTCCTTCATGTGTAATAGTCAAAAGTAAGGTGTAATTTAAGAAAACGATAAGCTTAGATTTAATGAGAGTTATAAATCGATTTATAGACAAACTTCTTGTCAAATAAGACTAAACAGTTATTAAAAATTATCCCGTTTGGTGTACATTAAAATGAAAGAATGCATTTTTTTGAAGTGATGTGATGGGGAATATGTGGTTGAAAATGAAGGAAACGTTATTGATGTGACGAAAAATATTATTTTATTGAAGAATGTGTGGTTGAAAATGAGAATGAAAAAAATAATGTGAGTCAAACAGGAGCTTAGTAATTTACAATATGCCTCATTTGATAATTATTTCAACAATAACTAACTCTTTATAAATCAACTAATTCAACAAAAATTCAATAGGATAAAAGTACCACATGAAGGAAAAAATTGTACAACTAATTATAAAAAAGTTGGAGTAATAAAATGTTGCTTCATTAAAATCGAATGAGATAAAATAGTACCCCGATCGCTCATGACAATACATCGCAACAACTACAATAGCCTTTAGCAAGGCTCTTTAGCTGAGCAAATAAGTAAAGTTAAACGTAAATGAATTTTTCATTAAAATAAAAGTTACTTTTATAATAGGTAATTTTTTACAAAAAATAAATCAAATCTTCGGTAACTCTTTTCCCAGTTTAGATTAGATTAGTATCATGGACTGTTGATATTATTGTATGCATTTATTATTAGTACGATTAACGTTGTAACATGTTTGGAAACATGATTAGTGATATCCAAGCAACAGCCCAACAATTCGAAAAAAATAAAAAAAGCACCCAGAAAGACACTTCGCGCGCACGAACGGTCTGAAAACATCAATACCGAACAAATTAATTACACATTATACTTTTTTTATTAAATTAACTTATTTACATATTATATCAAAAAAATTAAATTATTTTACAAATATCATGTATAATATTAATTTGCTGCATAGTCTTATAATTAATGTGTATATAGTAACGAGTATCGATGTTCATCTCATGTTAAGTACTAGTGACATGTCATATTAATTTTTTAATTAATAAAAAATTTAATTCAAACATCGAGACCTGCTAAAATTTTATCCAACCAATGGATTGATATGACATGTCATCGATACTCGGCATAAGATGAAGACCGTGATCATTAAATTCACATATATTTGAATATAGCATCAAGGTAAGGGCATATATTACAACATCACATGTCATGAACGGTATATATAAAAAAACAAATAGCTTTACTACTTGGACTCATCTTTCAAACGATAGTCCATTCCTAATTTTATTTCTAGCCATTACCGATTTCTTTTACCTACCGACAGACGTCATTTTTGCTTTACTCGTCGTCAGCATGTTTAGTCTTACTGTTGTGAGGGTGGAATTTGACTGAAAGTGGTCTGGCATCCCTAGTAACCCTGTCGACTCCTCTAATGCAAACAAAACCTGTAAGCGATTGAAAACACGTAAATGAAGGATTTAGAGATAAAATCCATCTCGTTTTCTTAGAAGATAGTTGTGTCGAAAACAGAGTTTTTTTTTTTTTTTTGGTTTCTTACCTCTCCAGAAGCAATATTGGATTTCTTTAGTTGACATGCCTAGATTACAAGATCAAACATTTCTTATATCATTTACAAATTTCAAAGCCAAAAATCACTTTCCACTAAAAATATGCAAAATAATATGGGTTTTTCTCACACCTTTAAATATTGATGTTGCACCTGTTCCACAATATAATGATCGCTTTGGTAGTTCCCAAATAGATTCTCTCGGAACAGCAATAGGGCATCTAGTGGTTTTGTGGTCAGCAAATACCTGCATAAATACAAGAGCTTTAGGAAGCCTGGCCAATTTCTATGGCTACCAGCATTTGAACTGAAGATAAAAATAGTTGTAATCTCACCTCATTGACCTGAAAGTATGTTCCATTAAGAGGGAAGGTTCCTCTAGTAGCTGTTCGGCATGGAATCTGCTTCCAACATTACGAGAAAATTGGGTCAAACCAAAACACAAGTACAACAACTAGAATGTTTAATGTGCAGTAGTTTTACTCACCAAAATTGTTCCTTTGACTGTCTTGTCATTTTGTTCTTGGTCCATATTTCCTGAAAAGCATGCACNCAAAAACACAAGTACAACAACTAGAATGTTTAATGTGCAGTAGTTTTACTCTCCAAAATTGTTCCTTTGACTGTCTTGTCTTTTTGTTCTTGATCCATATTTCCTGATAAGCATGCACTTCCATCGCATGGTGTTGCATATAGGGTGTCGCCCGTCTTTCCTGATTGTTGACAAGAACTCGCCATTTCATCTGAGTAACCAACAGCGAAAATAGCACACATTAAAGATTGCAGAAAAAAGGACATAGTGAAGTCCTCTGTAAGTTTGTTTACCTGTTGTCCATATTCTAAGAAGGTATGGACATGGATCATCAGCTTCTCGTTTTTCAAACTGTCAAATGAATAATAAGAAACTTAGAATGACATTTTTATGCATTACGGTTTGCATAAATGAAAACGGAAAAATAAAAACGAAAAACTAAAACTAACCTCTGCCAAAATGGGGTGTGAATCTGGAAGCTCATAGCTGCAGTTATACATTGAAAACTGTTCAGCGTTGAATATATTGAAATTCTGTCCATGGTCTCGTATTAGCACTTAAATGCACAACTTTTCAGACTGTTTGTCACAATATGGGAATCTAATTTGCAAAAAAACTTCACTCGGGGATGGGGAGTGGGGTTATGAAAAATATCATCAGGTGGCTTGTTAAATGCCATCAGGTGAACTCTAATTTAAGTTACACATGGAACAAGATCTAAAAAATTTAATATTTCCAGAAAATGCAGCAGCAGGTTTTTAATGATTATGCTGATCTATATGAAGGTAATGTCCACTTACACTTGGTGCACTGTCCTTAATCGGTAAACTTCTTTTATTTTAGGCATTGGAATTGAAGCAGCTTCAGGACTTATAGCTACCAGTGCTTTCGAAATATCACTCTTCGAGTGTAAGAAACTTGTTTTCTCCATGAAATTCAGTAAATTTTCTTTGAACCCTTCAGCATTAAGTCTGATGGTAGGAATTTNAGTGCTTTCGAAAAATCACTCTTCGAGTGTAAGAAACTTGTTTGCTCCATGATATTCAGTAAATTTTCTTTGTACCATTCAGCATTATGTCTGATGGTATGAATTTCATCTTCTGACTCATAGCCAAAGTCTTCAATGTCTCTTACGGGTGTTTCACTTGAACTGGGCTCAGGAGATGCTGGAACTTCGATAATGGGTTCACGGTTGTGATATTCACACCTTACTTCTGAGAAATCACCATCAGAAATGGGCAGTAGTTTTGGACTCCTTTGCATCAGAGGGTCTTGACCAGCTGGAACTGGAGCCTCCGATATTATTACATTTTTCTCTTCCGGCCCCGGAAGTCGAAGCCTAGCACTGCAACGATCACATTATATAATAGTACACGAACAATGTTTTGCATATGTTGCTACTCCTGAATGTTAATATGGTGCATGTATATGGTATGTTTGTTTGATAGTGACAACCTTCAA